ATGATTTTGATGAGTACATCTTTCTCTAAAGCTTCTCTCAAAGAATGCAATATGGAGCCTTCATCGGACAGAAATATTTTTCTTTTATCAGGAGTTATGTTGACATCAAATGCTCTGGGTGGGATCGTGAAGTCCATGATTGCAATGGGATATTGTCGAGAGTTTGCACCTCTGTACAACTCATTGACAAGCTTGCCAACTTTTGGCATATCAACTGGCCGTCCATTCACAAAAAAGTATTGCCGATCCCCCATATTGCGTCCACTACCATAACCACGCTTAGAAATGAATCCTTCAACTGTGCAACCATCAGAAGTACATACTTTAAGAGGCTCCAGACAAGTAAAGGTACTCATACCAAATACTGTTATGATGTTATCTTTCAGGGATCCACTTCCCTGAGTCTTCAGAACTACAGACTTTGCATTTCTTACAGCTGTGTTGGTGCAAACTATTCTGACTCCCTTAGAAATAAGAGCATAGGCCTATGAGTGCAAGAAAGACAAAAAAATTAAATAACTTAAACAACTAAAGTATAAAAATACTTCTTCAACAGGATGTCATGCCTATAATCTCTTATTAAGATTAAAAATATTGACAAAAAAAAAATTATATAAGAAGGCTAACACGGATGATTTGGTCACCAAGGTTATAGCAAAATGCGACTTAGAATTGCCAGAAGCAAAGGTTTTTTTTTTATGAAGTAAATCAATTTCATTAAAATGGAAAAATCTCCCTTATGATGTATACCAAAAAAGCAGAGAACTTACACAAAAATATGGTTCTCTACAAATTGCACCAAATCTTCTATATAGACAGGAACCTCATTTTCCGAGGAAGATCTCTATTTTGCACAGTTGCATCCCTCTTAGAATTTGAGTTTATAAAGGGACTCAAATTCAGTCAGGTATTTCCAACTTACTTTAAGCATTTCCGATCGAAAAAAAAGAGGAATATAAAAAGAATTAGCAGACATATAAAGAATATTCAAAAAACACTACAGCACAAACATAGCATAACTGCTAATATACAAATTCATCTACAATACGGTGTCAGTTAGATAATTATTCATTATCGAGATACCTCAAACAGAATGATTAATAATATATTTCCAATATAGTGAAGAAATTCTCTTCTTTTAACTCGTTTTTTTTTCCTTTTTTGGTTGAAATAAGTACGTTCAACAAATTTCTAAGTTTAAAATTCAATGTCCTCCAAAATGTTAAAGGCAGGAGTGCTACTGTAACACATAAAAGTTTGGAGCTTGAAGTCTGAACCAACTTGAACTGAATCGAATTATACCACCACGAACTGTCCTATAGTTTTGAAGGCACCAGTTGAAATTTTGATCTTCAATTATTTAGTTGAATTACAATTAAATTCTTCCTAAGAAATCAGTAGCCAAAGGCAAGTAGATAATGCAGATTAAAGGCATCATACATTCAGCAATGTAATAAGCTTTCCATATTCCTTTCGGATGTTACGGTGAAACTCTTTACTTCGCACTGGTAAAGTGGAGAACAACTTCTTAACAGTGACAGTGGTACCAGCTTGGCGAGCTATGTTCCTTTCAGCTAACAGAAGGCCCGAACGATCAAAAGTCAAGTGTGTCGCCACTTGCTCATTCTTTGTTCTTTGTTTCAACCATCAAATCCCCTCTAAATCCAAAAGTCGCTAATGACTGAAGATCAGGAAAATCTGATAGTTTTGAGGTATGATGTTTTAGCGTCAGTACCTTCAAAACCAAATACACACCACTTTGTACCATTAGACCAATTCTCAATGAACACGACAAACAGTGCACTTAATTAGAACAAACTAAGAAATATTAACAAACAGTGAAAACCAGCAGCAAGGGAGCTACAGAGGACAAGAGACAACCTTGATTGAAAATAGAGATTAGCATAGAGAAAGTTTAAATGTGATACATAAGGAAACACCACACATATATATATATATATATACACACAATTACACACACTGGCACACACATCTACATAAACACACACATGACACATATACATAAAGACACACAAAACACACACAAGACACAAATTGATTGAAAATAGATAGTAGTATGGAGAAAGCCTACACACATAGACATATACAGGCATAACCGCATAAGTGTGGGTGTCTGTATGCATAATACACACACACACACACACAAAACACAATTTTACTGGCTTATTCACAAATAACAAGCAAATGGAAGAGAGAGTGACAAAAATTTAGGACAAGAGCAGAAAATAGAACGGCAAAGAGAGACCTTGAAATTGTGAGGCGAGATGCCACAACCGTTGTCAATAACCTGGAAGGATTCAGCGCCATAGTCTTTGAGCGAAACCTCGATGCTGGTGGCGCCGACGTCCAAGTTGTTCTCAACCAACTCCTTGACGGTGGAGGAAAGGTCCAAAATAACATGACCAGCAGAAATTCTATACACGACGCCCTTGTTTATGGGCTTTATAGTCGACGGTGAAGCTGCTGGTCCTCCGTCCATTTCAATGGCGCTCAATTACAGGGCAATGCCGCGTAACGACCCGAACGGTCGTTTTGAGCTTTAGCGCGTCGTTCAACAGTTTGAGGCCAAGAGCAGCTTCACTTCAGGTATTATCACTTGTACGCGTGGTTGGAATTCAATTCCGGGAAATTCGGAGTTTGATTTGGAGAAAGAATTCTCATTTCGGAAGCTTTAAGTTGAAAGAATTGACTAAGATTGAATTTTTGAGTGAACGACCTCGGAATCAGGATTCGAGGGTTCCAGCAGGTTTGTATGATGATTTTAGACTTGGGCATATGTCCGGATCGGGTTTTGGAAGACCCGGGGAACGTTGCGGCACCTATTGTGGAAGTTGGCATTTTTGAAAGAATTTCATAAGTTTGGGTTGAAGTGCATATCAGTGTTATCGATGTCCGTTTGGGATTCCGAGTCTGGGAATAGCTCCGTATGGTGATTTTGGTGTTGGGAGCGCGAACGGAAGTGAATTCGGAGGTCCGTGGGTCATTTTGGAGTCATTTGGCTAAAGTTAGAAATTTGAAGGTTTTTGATAAGTTTGACCGAGAGTTGACTTTTTGATATCGGGTCGGATTCCGATTCCGAAAGTTGGAGTAGGTCCGTAATATCGAATATGACTTGTGTGCAAAATTTGAAGTCATTCCGGAATGATTTTGGTAAGGTTTGAGACACTTAGTCTCTTTCAAGGAAGCTTAAGTTGAAAAAGTCAATCGGATGTTGACTTATGTGTTAGAGGGCTCGGATGTGAGTTCCGATGGTTCGGTTAGCTTCTGGAGGTGATTTATGACTTAGGAGCATGATCAGAAGGATCGTAGCAGATTTAGGCTTGAATTGGCAAAGTTGATATTTTTTGACGTTTTCCGGTTGATATGTGAGATTTGATATAGGGGTCAGAATGGAATTCCGTGAGTTGCAGTAGTTCAGTTGTGTCATTTGGGATATGTGTGCAAAATTTTATGTCATTCGGACGTGGTTTGGTTGGGTTTTTGATCAAAAAAGTAATTTGGAAAATTTTTAAATTCTTAGGCTTGAATCCGATGCGAATTTGGTGTTGTGATATTTTTTTGAGCGTTTCGAAGGTTGGAACAAGTTTGAATGATGTTATGGGATATGTTGGCATATTTGGTTGAGGTCCCAGTGGCCTCGAGTGAGTTTTGGATGGTTAAACGGACTATTTCATCTTTAGAAAAATTGCAGATTTTTTTTAGCTTCAGCTGTGCACCAGAAATTTCTGGTGCGAGGAGTCCAGTTTGGAAGCTCATATCTTGCAATCTATAAGGAATCAGAAAAATTGCAAAACATGAAAGTTGTAGCCCTTTCATTCTAGTTTCCAGAAAATTAAACCATTTATAATTTGGATATTCTATCAGAAAGTTATGATGGATCAAATATGGCTGGTGGAGCAATTTGGACAGAATTTTCTGATGCACTTTAGAAGCTCATATCTCGGAATATATAAAGAGTTATATGGTGTACAACCTATCAAATGAAAGATCTTCGAGTCTAGTTTCTAAATCTTCAAACCGTTTGTCATTTGGATATTTCCACAAGGGGTTATGGGCGTTTTAACAGAAGGTGTACAACAGGGGATAATAGTAAGAGGATGTACAACCTGCACAGCGCAAGGTACAGCTCGATGAAGCCTGGGCAGATTGTTTTAAACACGAGTTTTAGCCCATTTCTTTCATTCCTTTCATTTGGCTTGGACGATTTTGGAGAGCTAAAGGAGGGATTTTCACCAAGCAACACTAGGTAAGTGATTTCTTCCTATTTTTTTTATTAAATATGTGATCTTACATGGATTTAGACATGAAAATCAGTAGAAAAAGGTGGAGTTAGGGCTTGAGATTATGAGACCTTCTAGGGATGATTTGAGGGGTCAAACGAACTAAGAGATCGATAAACAAGTAAATTTCAGTCAAATATGCAGTAAATTCATCAATCGGGACGACCAAGTACACAATCCTCAACGGTGCTCCTACCTCCACGCTGCGTATCCGGCGTGCAAGTCACCTCATATATAGCACAACGATGTGCAAATCCGGGATTTCAAACCCTCAGAATATCATTTACAATCATTACTCACCTCCAACCCGAATCTCTAGCTCGCGACGCCTTTGCCCCTCAAATCGGCCTCCACGGCGTCGAATCTATCAACAATCAGAGCGAATATATCACAATATGCTAATGGAACGAAAGCACAAGCGCACTAAGCGAAAACAATCAGTAACGGGCCAAAATCTCGAAATTACCATAAAATCCGAGACCCCGGGCGCCGCAATCAGTCCCGAAATGGAAAGAACTTTGATACCAAAATGTTCTTTCATCATCCTCACGAGTCCTACCATTTAAATGAACTCGAACAAATCGGA